ATTATACAATCGAGCATAGGAAAGGTATCCAAATGTCTCATGTAGATGTTCTAAGCAGATACCCTACAATTTTAAAAATTACATTAGAAGAAGGTGTGATACACAAATTGAAACAAGCTCAGGAGAAAGATGAACACATAAGGACTATAAGAAGAATTTTAACTACTGAAGAGTATGTAGATTTTTACTTAGAACATGAAATACTATACAAATATGAAAATGGCCTAAAGTTACTAGTGGTACCAGTAGAAAAGCTCACGAGATGGGGCACTTTTCTACAAAAAAGACAGAAGAAGTTATAAATAAAGAGCTCTTCATTATTATTATTTAAAAATGACCGATTTTGCGCTAGAACCGGTGTTGCACCTTTACTTAAAACATATTTAAAATTTATAAACGATACTATTGAGAAGCTAAAGTCGTAAATGCTTTGTCTACAGAAAAATTTCCACTTCGTAGCATTCAAAAACCTTCTAACCAGAATTCTTTAGAAGCAAAAATACTAATTCCTTTTTACTTGTGGGCCATTTTGATGTTCACCATACAATATGAAGATCCGAAAAAACATTTGGCACAGGTGAAACTATTGAAACTACAAATATTTATTCATTAAATACAGGCAGTTACTAATTCCTCATATGGAACTTTTCCAGTCATTGATCATAGCAAAAAGTACTTGGCATCACAGAAACTATGAAATAGAATCTGCAATCACACGACTCTGAATATGAAGCTGAGACTGAAAGATTTTCCATTTTTCCAACACCTTAGAAGTCTCAAGGGATGTTGACTGCCCAAAAATGATGGAGGAAATATTTGTCACAGGAGAATTTTGCTAACTAAACCTAGAGAGAACCTTCATAGGATCCTTTGATATCGTAAAATTGCCTGTACATTTTGACACAATCTTTGATGAATCTCATGATTTTTGGATAATTTTCTGCATAAGAAGTTACAAGAAAACTGATTTATTTCAGTTCAAATTCGTTTCATTTGAAAGAACAAGCTGACTTGATTTATCTAGAGACTAGATTTTCATTTCTCGGCCGCTTCATCATACCCAAAAGCAAGAGAGATTAAACATTTCCACGTTTATTACTCGAAAATTAGTTGCAAATGATTCTTTTTTGCTTTAAAGCACGGACTGGCAAATTTATATTCCACCAGGTGTGTTTTTGAGTTAAAAAGCTTTCACGTATTTTATTAAAAAGTGCGATGTAGATTTTTTGTCGAATAAATCAGTTAAATACCAATTAAAACGATATCAGCTGCCGGGGTTGTAAATTCCGATAATTATATTCCACGCAGATCGGTTTAAATTCAATTTAAACACCTATATATAAATTTAATTATTCAAGATAATGAAGCTTCATAATGTAACAAAAAATATATACCTTTATATAAATACATTTGGACTTTGAAATCATTTGGCAAGAGTTGTAGTTTAAAACAACAAGTTTTCTATAAAGCTACACTTTCCGGCACTTATTTTATTATAAGAGTTCCAGAGGAGAAAAATCGTGTGAAAATTCAATGCCAAGACACTTTTCTTCGTTTAAAGTGGTAATCCACAATCAATAAGTTTTGTTGCCACTTTAAAAAGTAACTTTTCGATATCTTTTATTTACAGCACTTAAGCTCAAGCGTTTACTTATTTACGACGGAACCGCATTCCTCATAAAAAAACCTAAAATACTAAAAATGAAATAATATTTTTGATAGTAAAAATCTGAAAATCCATAAAACTGAAGACGTTTTTATGATTCGAGCCATTTTTTAGTACGTGTCTTAGTCGAAAATGCTATTTTATAGATATAGCACAATCGTTTCTGGTCATCAAAGTTAGAAAGGTATAAAATTTTAACAGCTCTATTATCATAAACTTAGGTTTGATGAAACGAAAATCTCAGCCTTTCAACTCTGGCATCATTTAATTTTCAATATTTAAATAGCCGTTTTCAGTCCAGAGTCAGTCAGTTCTCTTCAGGCAGTGATTGAGATTTCATCTCGCCTGTCTGTCCCGTTCTCTGCGCCAGAGACAAGAACAGCTCTCCCCTCATTTGTTCGACAAAAGTGCTGTGACATGTACCCGGCACTTAGAAGCGTGTATTAGGCTGGCAACGTTCTGCTGTGGGTCACCTTGCCTTAGGGATCACTTTATGTGGCCGGTAGGCGAACCACTCAGAGCATTGTTGGTGCGAGCTACCTCATAGGTACGAAGATAGAAGAGAGAGAGCCAACGTTACAACCCCTCAGGCGCGAAATAAGGCTTCCGGTAAAACCCAGTTCGTCGCAAGGAAACCCGTATTAATTATCGCACTAGAGGTTGATGTCCTGGGGGAGTACTTCGCATTAGCTTACTACCAATCCCCGGCAAAGTCCTTTTCAGGGCAACTATCTGGAAGAAAAATAAAAAATCGTTTGATTGCTGGTTCTTAATTGAGCCCCGCGTTCCCAATTCGGCACATTCGTGCAGCTTTCCGTCTAGGAAATCTAGACTCCTCCTCCGCGTTTGTAACATATATTTTTGGACATCTTCTTCAAAGGTTCTCGACCCCCCGTGTCCGTCCTCGACGATTTTCGTGAATTTTTATGAAAATTCTCATTTCTTCTGCAAACTCCACGTCGAATTGAAACTCAAAAATCAAATAATCATTCTCTTCCTCCAAGTTGGAACAGAATTTGTAAAAATACTAGAAAGTCTAAATTATCCAAGCTTGACTTTTCTTGAGGCTTTTTTAGGAATTAATGAATCCCTACCTTTAGGTCAGCTTATTAATTTTATGTGTAGCACATTTTTTGTCAATATCTGGACGTTGGAGAAATAAGGTCTTTTTGAAGAATTAAATTTTGTCTTCGCCCTTGTGGGATTTTGACCTTATATTCTCCATTATTGAATTTATAACACATTATGTTTTCGTAGAGTGTTATAATTTTCGCCGATTAGTTCGGATTTTTACAGCATCCGTGTGGTAAGTTTTGCTGTGCACGTTTTTTCTTTCCACAGTGGATTCTGACTTTTCTATTTAATCATTATTGAAAAGCTGCCCTAAAGAGTAGAGTAAAGACCGTCTCACTCACTCCAGAACTTCGAATCCAGACCTCGATCCAGATTTCCAGAGTATTTTCGAGGCAAACAATTTCCAACTTTCTCCCTTTCTCCTCCCCTTGTCTATAAGTTGGCAGGGATAAGCGTATAGAATAATATTAACTCTCGACCGATTGGGAAGAAATGACAGAGAGATTTTGTGTGAGAAGAACTTTGAGCCTTGGGTCTGCATAAAAACTCTATAATTAATAGAGTAGAGATAGATATACGAGGAAAATCAAATTTCCAAACTTCTTTCACCTACTCGCTATCAGTTGCATTTTCCAACAGGTAAAACATAACCTTATTAACCTCAAATTTTCTTTGCAAACTCGAGGCACATTTTCTTTACTATTGAAGCTTTATCTGATTTTATCTAATTTAATTAATTATTATTAAAATAAGAGCTATAGTTTTTATCAAGTGAATTTGCTATTAAGGGCCAAATTATGGACTGACTGGTAAACGTCTGGTTGTTATCTAGCAGGTACTTTCTATGCTCTAGATAATAGAAAGTACCTGCTAGGTAACAACCAGACACTTACCAGTTGGTCTATAATTTGGCCCTGAAGACTGATTGAGTTACATTATAATTTCATTTTCTAATTCCGTCTATTCATAAGTGCTTCGCTATAGCTATGATTCAATTGCAAATGCAGTGTGTTATAACAGTTATTCTCTTAGGTTCTTTTCACCGAGGTTTTTAGTAACGGTTACATTGTGACACAACCATACTCGTACAATTGTAAGCGAGATTGTAACGATAAGGTTATCAAACGCTAGCCTAAGCCTTCTAGATGGACGGTTACACAAGCCTTCTGAACTGTAAATTTTGAACCGTAAGATTGATTTGACCATCTTAACCACAACCAGTAGCCCGGAGTAATCTGCTTAATTTGACCTACTGCTACCATCTGGAACATTTTGGTATCGTACTAGCTTTAGTTATTCTATCTTTATTTTATTGTTAATTTACATTTTGTCCCTATTTTGTACGCCAAAGTGATCACTAAGGTATTTCAGGGAGTAATTCAGTACCAATGTGACAAGTGAGACAAAACACAGTTATTATTATAGGTAATTCAGCTAGACATAACCTGGTCCAAGTGGTGGATTATTTATGCCAACTTACTTGTAGTTCTGCTTACATCAGTCTAAGGTAACCGTTCCGACAATTAATGCTTTAATATAATTTTATATTTTCAACCTTAACATTTTTTTATTATTCAGTTGGTTATTGAGTTACAAAAACATTTTAGATTTTTACATTTAATTTAATTGTTTATGACTATAGCTATTGTTTCAATAGTAGCCGTACTGTATTTGTTGATTGACTCTTCATCAAAAGGTCACTTCATTTATTATATAATGACAGTTCAAGTGATTGTTCTTTTTCTTAAATAGTTTTTCACACTTTGGTAATATTGCTTATTTACTTGTTGATTTTTTTATTATTATTATTATCTCAATATTGTTTCATTGTAGACGGTAGCCACATTTGGTAAATAAACTGACTATAGCACTTGATTCGTTGACTTTTATTTGGTTTTATGCACACAGTCTAGCTTTAGCTTTTCTTGAATATTGTTTTTTTTTTTATTATTTGAATTGTAAGGATCTAAGGAGAGTCCGACTCATCTGTCCAGAGACGGTGGCGCCCAAAAATAAAACCCACCCCTCTCTCCGAATTGTTTGATTCTGAGCTAGGGGATAATTTGCACGCACTTAAACCTTCAGACCTACAATCTCAAGTTCTTCAATATTTTTTTTTTTTTTTTTTATTTTTTTTTTGTATTTTTTTTTTCTTTCTAAACTTTTTATTCACCGAAAAAGCGTCGCAAATTAATTGGCGCCCAACGTGGGGCAAAAGAACATCTTTTATGTTTCTAGTAAATTAAGACTTTCAACTTACCAGTTCTTCATCATTCAATGTCGCCCTGGGTACAGCAGAAGTGAGTCCAGCATTTCTTTTAGTGGCAGCCATGGTCTGAGAAAAATAATTAAGTTTATAAATTTTTGTCATAATTATCCACTAACAATTAAAAATTTGCTTTACTTATTCAATTTTCTAAGAAAAAAGTTTAATGAAGTAGTTAAAAGCAATGCTAAATATACTCTATGTTAAAATTCAAAAAAAATATTGAAGCCTTAAAAATCTAATCTAATTTTAATTATTGAACTATAAAGTAAAAATTCAAATTATTTTTTACCTGCAAACGTTAATATTTTACTGATTTCGAAATATCAAAGGGTAATATAATTTATTTATGTTTAAATTCACAACGGCATATGAATATCTATTGAAAAATTTAACCCCCCATAGTTATTCCAACATAAACAAATATTAACGTTTTGAAAAAAAAACTGTGCGATTCTGTAAAATTAGTGAAAAATTGTGACTCTGAATTCCACACACAAGTGGGCAACGTGTTTGTGTGATCAAAATGAGTGGGTAGCGAAAAACACAAGCATGCATTATTGTGTTAATTTCGCTAAAACCTATGAAAATTCCATACAAAAGGATTGGGGTTGATGAGAGCCACATATTTACATCAGCCAGTTATTTGCTTCCTTTTATATTCCAGTTTTACAGAGTGGAAACTAATATCTGGCCAAATGACTTCTATCCAACAAATATAAACTATCTACATAAAAAGCTCGAGCGATTATAAAGTAAACATCGTTCACAATCCAGGTGTTTCTTTACAGTTGACATTTTGATTGTATTTCCAGTTTTTTCGTCTTTTTCCATGATATTCTCGTTGGTTGTCATGACCTGTTTATTTTCAATATGATCTTCCTTATGTATTCTCAATTATTCTTCAGAGTGTTTGGTACTCAGACAGTACTACGTCAATAAAAGTCGAGAGACTAGCTTATTAATTAGTCCAATGAATTTTACTTAACACTGTATCAATTTTCTGCTTAGATTCATTACAATATTATCTATCTTGGGGGAAATCCGCTATCTGGGAAAAACTGGCCCAATGTTGGAGTATTCGAATTTTAAGCACAGCGAGTGAACCGAGCATCCGATTTTATTTATTTTTGCTCCAAATTGTTTATAACACATTCTCATCGTCGCGTCCTGTTTTTTTCTCCTAAAACTAAATTTTAGCTCAGCATATTCCATTACAACTACTTATAATCTCCAAACCTATTGATGTTCATTAACATCAATATGTTTCTCATTTTGACAGTGGTTTTTCATTGTGAAGTCTTTGTAAAGTGAATATGATCTTTTGGGTGTACTCTTCTGATTGGTTAAACTGGTTAAAATGCAGTTAAGTATAAGAAACACAGGATTGTTTTCCTGTGAGGTTTGGTTTCTAAAACGTTCTCTTTTCTCGGCGGTAGTCTAGCAGGAAGTCATTTTTATTTTTAATAATCTTTGCTATACATTTTTAGATTCTCTCTCATAGATTTTTCAATACATTTTGCTATCAATGCATATTATCATATCATTATTAGGTTTTTACCTGATAAATCTTATCTTATCTATTCTTGAAATATAAATATTATATTTTTATTTTTTATCTAATTTTGGGCTTCCATTTTGTGTGAGTGCCGATTGGTTGTTCCACGTTTTTTTTTTTTTTTGAGGTAAGTCAATTCAGACTTTTGGACTAATAAATAGGTACTGCTGCTCTAAATACAGTCGATGAAAACCAAATTTGTGTGTCCATCCCTATCAATTCTTTATTGAATCCAGGCAGAGGCCTGAATAGCCATTTTCTGTTTGACTCCGTCAATTATTATCTCGACTAAAGGGTGTAATTTTTTTAGTAGAAATGCAGACAGGTCAAAAATTCAGTTAAAAAGTTTTAATTAAAACACCTCAAGAATTTTGACATATTCTGGATTTGATTGATTTCAGCGTCAGGTTTATCTTGTAGTATCTATAGTAGCTACCTTAATTTGAAAGGAAAATTTTGTCCATTGGGGGGAGAATCTAAAGATTTACTTTCAATTTAGATTTTCTTTGCAAGACACTCACTTTTTGACAGAATTCAGGGATTTAATATTCCAAATATTGGTGAACCTGATACTGCCTTATTCTTTTCTGGGTACCTTCTCGATATAAAGATCACTGTTTGGAGTCTGGATCAGCTGGAGTGACGCCACCCCAGCAATCTATCCTCTTCCTGGATACAGGAAACAACATGAAGAGCTCCAGTTCACGAAAGTGAAACCCCAACATCCACTGAAGAGCTCCGGATTGGAAAGGTACCATCGTCACTAATTAGCTCTTGTCCTATTATATGAATTTTATTGTCAAATATTTGTCAAACTATAATTTGAATGCATTGAAATAAATGACAGTAGAATTAGTCCAGGGGATTATTATGCATTTATTTGTGTCCCAGATACTTTTGGTGACGATGGTACATTGTATCAGATTCACCAGAAAAGCCAAGCTGTCAACTGACATGTTTTAAAGAAGGTGGCATTGTCACTATATTATTAAACACAGAACTTGTTAAATATCAAATAAAATTATTTTTTGTTGGATTTTGAGTGGTTTCATTTGGGGGACTACACGTTATTTTATTCTTTTGAATTTGAAAGGTTATCTTAAAGTTCAAATAATCAAGCTAATTTGTAACAACTGTGGACTTGAAGTTCGTTGAATTGTGGCGCTTGAAAATCCGTTAACGTGTGATTTCTGCTTTTACCGCACGTCTAACTAAACTTTTTACGCGCCATAATTTAACAAGCTATAAGTTCAGTAGCGCCCTCTACAACTCAAATGTCAATATTACGGCGGTCACTTGGTGAGTCGACGTTGCTGTATATCGTAAAAAAATAGCTATGTTCTCGATTGTAAGGAACCGGCAACAAATGCAGAAGCTCGAGGATGTTATGATTCCATTGGTATTCCGTCAATTTGTCAGAGCAGGCTGTTTTACTGTCAGGAAAACTAGAAAGTTCTGGTCAGGCATATGGACCGATATGACAATAGACCAAGTGTTGATGAGAAATATGAAAACGGCGGGTGGGCTCACACGTGGACGTGGATTAATGAATAACCTCATTGGTCGATGAGCTTGTGCCATGCCTTCATCTATAGATGTCATAGGCGCTACTGAAATGTTTTGTTGAGTCTACCGAAACCTCCAACCAGCATGTTGAGCTAGGACAGTTACGGCAAATAACAGATAAGGTAGACGTTAGCATGATGGTAAACTGGCTACATTCACATCATCCTTTTAACTACTCAACGAACCATCTAGTGTCTTTGTCCACCGGTGCAGTAGCCGACGATACAGTTAACTATGATCCGTGGTTTGCAAGCGATGAAATAAATCACAGGGCAAAAATTTAGTCTTCACTTCAGTTACGACCTTCGTCACAGCGGCCACGATCAAAGACACTGTCGTCGAAATCAACCCCAACCAACTTTTTCACCAATTGCTATGTGTTGTGCGTGATGATGATAACCTCAAGGAGTACTTGAGATATGAGCTTGCAGCAAAACCTCCAGCGCTGTTTTACGGGACTAAGGCACTGAGTCTGGATTGATAGACGTTTTAGAAGAAATAGCGCCGCCTGTGAATAACTTTTCAGTAAAAGCAGAGTTTACAGTCGATAGCAGGTTCTTTTTACACAGGGTTATGTGGGCGCGTCCAGCAAATTTCAGCCAAATCTGTCTCCAGTATGTAAAGTAACAAGGATGAGGAACATACCAAAAGAAATGCCAGAGGAGCATCGAGAGAGATTTTAATCGATGAAGGACGTTTTTAGCAAATGTGAAAACCAAAGTGCGATTCATAGCTTTGCTGTCAAGACACCAGACATCTCATGGAAAATACTATCAAGATCATTCAAGCCCCGAGTAATGCGGATACCGTCACAGTGGAAAATGCTGTGAAAGCAGCTAACAATGGTGCGGTGTCAGTGATAGTAGAGGAGGACAGGATCTTCTAGTCCTGATGGCAGCTTCATCCAGCCCTGGAACCAGCGTCCACATGCTGGTACCGGGAAGAAAGGATGCAGAAGCCTGGGTCTTTAGTAGTGAAGTGCTAATCGTGGCGTTTGGAGATCTCCGTAACTATGTTGTTTCTCCATGCAGCATTTGGATGTGCTACCAGTGCTCCGATTAGAAAAGGCAAAAAGGGATCTTCTAAGAAGTTCAAGCAAGACGCTTCTTTAAGGGCGATAGTATCCGTCTTTAACCTATCGGATGCTACGCACCAGGATATTGCGGTTCTTCTTGCATTGTACGGCTGTGGAGATGAAGGCAACTTAAACGTCAGACATCGGCTCTACCAGAGGACAGTTGCCAAACAGTCAGTCACAACAACCTTTGATGTAGCTACGCTTCCGCCTATATCTGCAGCGGCCGAACAACATTCATACCGAGTTTACCACCAGGTAAGGAACAAATTGTCTATCATTTGGTCACCACCGGTGATTGGAACTAATACGCCTTATAAATTTTGCTAAAACCAACTACGAAAGAACCAGCACCGGAACGGTCAACATCATGCGGGGTTCTCAGTTCACGGGAAAAACATAAATATGCAGAGCTGTAACCAGTAGATAGGTTGTTGGCAGAGTTCATTGCAAATCTCACAGAAGGCAAGGCTTCTTTCCATTTCGTATGATCCCTTTCCACAAGAATTTATAACTGGGTCTTCAGATCTCTATTTCTTCTCTCTTCAGGATTGGAAGCTGGGTGATACAACGGTATAAGATTTTGGGTAAAACCGAGGCAGTGAGCAACTTGTTGCATGACACCTGTGGCAAACTGCATGCCATTGTCACTGACGACATATCTGAGAATAACTTCATCGATAAGTCATTTCGCACAAGCTTCAGCTGTAGTATTTTCCAGTGCGAATAACTCTATCCATTTGGTGGCAGTATCTTCTATAGCGAAAACCCACCTTTCACCTGTTCCTGCTTCAGGCAGTGGTCCAAATAAATCCATAGCTAAGGTTTCAAATCGCTGAGCCAGAACAGGAGTCTGAGTCAAACGAGAAGGCTTAAGATTCGTTGGTTTGTATCTCTGACATTCTATGCATATTCTGATGTGTTAAGTAATGTCTTTTCTCATCGTCGGCAAGTAAAACCTTTGTGGGATTCGTTTCAAAGTTTTGTCGACGCCGAGTATAGAACCTACTCGATCTTGAGGAACAACTAATTGGGCTTCATCAGAATCGGAGCCAATGGCGTAACGGTGTAAAATCCCCTGAACCATAAGGTAGCCTCGATTGGTCCATCTGGCAAAGTCGACAGTATCAGAATCAACATTCGATAATGCTCCTAGTTATGAATCATCTAACTGCTGCGTTCTGGTCTCTGCTGCCCACTCATTAGGTAGCAAAATGGTAACTGTGTGTAAGCAGTGCACGGGTTTGATTCACGAAAAGATCCGTTGGTTCCGTACGGCCTTGTGCTCGAGAAAACAGTTCTCTATAAATCTGATGTGCTGGTTTGTTAAAGCCAAAAGCATGACGTAGCGCATCTAAAACTTCAATCCATAAGATGTTTGGCTTTTTGGTGCCTTGCCTCCATACTGAAGCAGCGCCATCCAGTAGCATGGGTAAACCTTTTACAGCGTTATCGTCACTGATGTTCAGACAGTCTTTGTAAATAGTGATGGCATCAATAAAAGCTTCAGCATCTTCGTCTGGCTTTCCAGAAAACCTTGAGCCGCATTTAGAAAAATTGGCAGCTGTACTTTGGTTCGAAGTAGATTGTGGCGTATTCTGAAACATATCTCTCATACCAGCGAGTAATATTTGTAATTGTTCATTCGTCAGAACAACGGGGTTACCCATTTTGTCTTGATTTTTTTGGGACGATCGAAGATTATAAGGCATATACAGGAAAATCCAGCTTGGAGTAAGCTAAGTGATGGAAATGTAGTGTTGAGAAACAGCAAACTCGGGTAAATCCTGACAAACAGGCGACTGTAATGTAGGAACCCTTTGAACAAACTTGGACGGACATACAGGAAACTGTAATGTGGGTACAAAATGGAGGACAAACTTGGACACACAGGAAACTGTAATGTCAGCACAAAAATGGAGGTCAAACTTGAACACGTAACGAACGTGTAATGTCAGCTTGTGTGGAATATTCCAAACATTGTGGGAACAATATCCGAATGTGGCAAAACTTACATAATTCGGTCAATTAATGCACATTTATATACTGATAATGTCTCGCGTTCTATAGTTCATTGATCTACAGTCACAAAATTAGTCCAGAAAGTCATTGGGGTGGTGGTTCACTACAAAACCCCAGGCCCCACGTTGGGCGCCAAATATTTAGCGGGTATCGAAGGGAACTCCAACACTATGAACTACACATGTTTTTTAATGTTTTTACTCAACAATTTAACTGAAAAAAAAATACAGAGTCGGCTAAATAATAGCAATAATTAATGATAATTGATAATGAACTTGACAACTTGATCGGGGAAACTGACTGACTGATTGACTGATAGATGACAATTGTTAGACATATGATCGGTTCAGTCACTATGCTTAAAACACGACAAATCCAAAATTGCGGTGATTTTTTCAAAATGGCGTATTTTCCTCAAGATGGATTTTTTGGAAACTTTAAGGTATCAATCAGAACACTATACTTAATATCTCCACCAATATTTAGCTTGTTATTTTAAATATTTCGGTCAATGTCTAATTATCCTGCACTATTACAAGAAGCAGCTAATGAAATTCAAAGTTAAAGCAAATACATGCATTAAAGTTTGCAAAAACAATAATAGTTTACTTGTTTGTCAGTCCTCGGTAGTTGAAAATAAATTTTCCGACTTGTTTGAAATGAAGATTAATTTATAGTTAAAGTTAATAAAACGTACAAAGCTGACGTCGCCAACTTTGTTATTGCTTCGTAGCAGCGATGTTGCTTCGAGGATATGAATACGGAAGTAGATGATAAATATTTTTTAGATGGAAATAAAACAACTTTTTTAATGAAATGACTTTTCAAAGGAAAAGTTTTTTGAACAAGGAAAAAAAACATTTCTCGTATTTGGTAAACTCCAGTCCATTTGCGGTCTGTGAACCAACAATAAACTCTGTTCAGAAATTTGTTTTAGCAAAAGCGAAATAAAATGCATGCATCAGGCCAGACTAGAATTACGGTAAAAGCGTAAAAAAGAGAATGAAAAAAATAGAAAATAAACGATCTAATACCTTGAGCACCTGGAGATTTTGGAAGCGTCGAGTAGGGCACAAACCATCAAATAGAGAGAACAAACAACACAGACACGTTAGTAAGTGGTTTTTGCGAGATAGACAGAGGCGCAGTGAGACGTTAGGGTATGAACTATCAAAATCTCTCAAGAAAATTGTTGAATATTCAGATAATTGAGGAGCAAAATAAATGACCAACTCACGTTTACTATAATTGTGATTTGATTCAAGTCCTAAGAGTAGTGTTAAAATTATGATTAATTTAAGATTTGTATAGAGAGACGTGGTTATTTTCGTAAGGTAAATAGCCAATTAGTTTAAAGGATAATAAAAATCTCTCTGCGCCACTGGAGAGGAAAGTTAAACAAAATTCACAACGGTAGAACATATAACATTTAATGCATGTGGCTGTGGTCCCTAAAAAAAAAACATTTAATCGGGCAATGGAACTGCAACTTTTCCATGAAACAAAATCTAGTTTTATCTCTTGAAGAGCTTTTAGGTTTGGATAATTACCAACAAAACGATGAATATTTATAGATGGGAGGAAAATGTAATTTCGAAATGCTTTTAGGAACTTCAGCCAAATACTCTTGAGTCGGGGTAATTTGATATTTTATAGACACTTATGGTTTCTGATAAACATTTAATAGGAAAATGTGAAGAAGATTATTATTTTGCAGCTAGAATTCTTAATGACATATATCGATTTCTAGGCAATAGAAGAATAATAATGCTACAAAATATTATAACAAGAATAAATGTAAATTAATAAATCATCACAGATTCATTTCATTGGATTCAATAAATTACTAAATCCAATGGAAAAGTGAAATATAATTTCCATTAAATAGTATTTTCTTTGCAAATTGAAGTGGTTACTGTTTGCCTAGAAATCCGCGAATTCGAGAAGCAAATTGGATTATGTTTAATGAAAAGATGAACGAAAAGAAAGGGTTTGTACATGAACATTAGAGGTGAAAATTAGAATAATTGGATTGGGAAAAATATTGTTGACCTGTAAATAACTATTATGAATACTGAATATCCAAATAAATACATCAATAATTGTTTCCACAAAACAAACTCCCGATAAAGTCCTAGCCACTCGAGTCTCTAATTAGACATGACTTCTAGTCTCGCTAAATCAAATTGTGAACTCTTAGCCGGTGAACAAAGTTTTCTATTTGTCATTTGACCCTGAGTAAATCGCCTTAAGAACTTAGCAAGAGTCAGAAAACAGATGTTTAATTAAACTTTGTTAAGCTGCTATGTTCATTTGAGACATTTTCTGGTCGAGGCAATAAGTACGTGCCCTCAATTCCAGGATTTTAATGGTAACAAGGGATGCGGTAATTATAAATTTTTGTATCTGGAAGTTTTTAACGAGACAATTATTTGGACATTTAATGAAATCGACTCAGAATGGTAGATGGATACAATATTGAAAATTATAAAAATTAGAAATTTAACAAAATACTCACCAAATCGGAAACCAGGAGATTGGGTTTTCCTCTTCTAATTGGCCTGATATCAGGTTTGATATCGATATTGCTGTAGAAGGTGTTGTCTCCCGGACCACTGCAAATATAAGTTTTTAGGTTTAATGAAATGAACTATTGCTTCTATAAAGCATAGATAATGCCATCAGCACAGCGGTATTCACGACATACTAAAAAGTCCATTATCTCTCAAATTTATTGAAGCGTTCTGCGGCAGCTAGAAATTTATTATTTAAAATTTATCGGAGTGCAGTGACAGAATAAGGTAAACACCGAAAAACAAGCCGCAGACTCTGCGAATTTGCATTGGAAATTTCGCCAAGCCGTTGTTTGGTTTTGTGGAACTTTACTTGGGAAATTTTCTCTTGTGACAGGTTGATGACTCTGGATTATCCTACAGTGATTGTTTTTCTATTATTGAATTTTATAGTTTTTACTTCAACCGGGGCAAGTCACATACAGCTTACAATTTGTTGTTTCTAAATCCATCATTACTTCATGTGATTAGTTATAATTTTTAAGGCCACGACAGCCATATATCTCTTCTAGTGAGAGAACTGCAGCTAAAAAGAATTAATTTTACTTTGCGAACGAAATCCGCATTAAAACAGTTTTCAATCCCTCGCTGAACTGGTTCAAATCCGCACCTGTCAGTTTTTCAGTTTCGCGTTCTCCTTTACGAACATTTCAACCGGAAGCTTGCTCGAATTTCGTGCTTGTACTAGTAGTTACTTGTTGCAACGTTGCTTGACATTATCTAAGGCCGAATCAAATTAATTACCTCGAGCACGGAGTTTAAAATCCATTACCAAAAGAAATTGGGATTTAATGAATAACTATCTATAAAATTTTCATAATCAATAGGATTGTTTCGATGTCATTTTTCATCCGAAAACTTGTCTCGGTTTTTCAGTGTCGGAATAACAAAACAACTTTGATAATCAATTAAAACTTTAAGCTCTATTTTGTTTGACTACAACTGCAAACTTTTTTAAAGTTATTAAAATATGCGGCAAGCCATCAAGGTTTTGCTAGGAACATTTTTTGCTTTATAATTTATTTATTTTTTCTGAAAAATAAAACGAATCTGGGAAAAACAAAGATGTGATATTGATGCATGGTAACTTGCTGAGCAAGCTAGAATTGGAAAGAATACGATTCTGATGATCATCTCGTAATGAGAGAACATCTATATTTGTTTTTCTACTACCGTGCGTAAAGTACTCACTTTACGCACTATTCAGAAGACGTAAAATTTCACTTCACGCACTAGTGCGTAAAGTAATTCACTTCACACACTAGTGCGTAAAGTAATGACAATGACAGATGTCGACACTGTCAATTTGGTATTTTTCTAGTATATTACTTCACGCACTAGTGCGTAAACTGAAAATTCTTCACGCACTAGAGCGTAAAGTATTTGTCTAAATTTATTTTTTTACGCATATTTGATTGGTATTAGAAAAAAATTTGTATGCAATACGTGCGTAAAGCATCTTTTTTCACGAATGTGAATTTTGACGCACTAGCCGAAGGCGAGTGCGACAATCACATGACACTTTACACACTTGTTACATAAATAACTATTTTCTCATTAACTACAGAGAGACATTCGATAGTAAATAATTATTTCGAAATAGACTCACGCTACAGATCATCAAATATATAAAATCTACAAAACCGCAGCAATACCAATAAACTCACAAACTATGGAGCAAACACCTGGCTGAAGTCTTGAGAGAAACCAAGATCATGTAGCAGAGCTCTCAATCAATGTATTCTCTTAATTATAGCATACTGCTGCTACACTGAAACGCTTACTAAGGACTTCCTGGAACAAATTGTTAAAACACACGAGTCTGAGGAATGAGCAAAACTAAGAATAATATTTGTTTTATATCGAAAAACCAATGAATGGACCAGAAGAAGAACGTAAGTCCTGGATGCTGGGGCACATAATATTCCTGTCTTCTTTGACAGCCCTTCACCATCTAATCCAGGAAATAAGCCTTTACAAGTTGCTTCTTTTGTCTGTTGATACCAGTTTATGCCTGCTGCTTCTTTGATGTAGTTCATCTATCGTTTGAAAGATCGCCCTTTGCTTCTTTTTAGCGATCATAGTCACGATTGTGGATTGTATCGGATATTTTTTCGTTTTTAGTCCGTATTGTCCACTCCTGAATATAGACCTCTTCCATATCTTTACACAATTTCCTGTCCTGAGCTTTTTGTATCCAGTTCTTTCCTGCGATTGTAACGTGTAAAGTTACTTGTTCAATTTTTAAAAAATTTAATTTTGTATAACTCTGTTTAATGTTGACAGTCTGGTGACTAACATTTAACATAGAGGGTTCCTGCTACTCATAATGTTAGCAATTATTGAATTATTACACTAGGGAGGACGATTTTTATTTAAATTTGACGTACTGGTTAGTACTAACGTTTTCTGTTGAGAGGAAGCGCTGTATGCTCATCTTGTCCATTCCAATTCTCTTCCTTTTCGAATTGAGTCGTCGAGCTGCAAAGTCGATCGGCCATCTTTTCGAGACAACCGTGCCGTAGAAAAATAAAGTACCTTATCGGCCTTCAGGCATTATCGTAACAAAATAAAGTTGCGTAGAGCAATAATCCATTGATTACCAAAAAAAAATTATTAAAAAGTCTCGTGATTACCGTTTAATTTGTTTGAATTTCAACGCCCCTCGTGGTAAGTTTTTTAATTTCTTTTCAAGTAATACCTTTTCGAGGAATGCCTTATTACTTAGGGTCTTTCAAAGAGCCGTTTCTCTCAACAAGTTCATTCCAAAATGGACACATTTTCAAATTAACACCATTTCCGTGGAGTGTGGCATAGAGCTTTTGATGGGATTCCTACCCTACAAGAATCAAGACCCTCACAAGTCGATACGTGTGCCCCACATTTGACCACCCCACTCTTCTGCCTGGATTCTGGGCTAGAATCCGCAAGTACCATGTGCGGTTCCCTTCGTCAAGTGACCGAGGATGGATGGCTTCCGTGCTCTACCTTATGTTGGAATGGAGGCTTGTATCAAGTTTCACTAATAACTTTCAATACCTTTTTTTTATAAAATCAGTTTTATAGTCAATTAACAAAATTAAGATATTTTTTTTTATATGATTTTCACTCACATTTAAAATCTCTTCTTATTCTTGACACGATGGTGAAAAATTAGCTTTCGATTTATCGAATTTATTATTGATTTGTCTTTGCATAACTTTCAATATTGCCTTATATTTTATCAATAATAATCGATAAGTAATCTGAACGAGGGTCAAGGTTGGACAACATGCTCTAAATTTAAACTTATTGATTAGTACCTATAACGTCAAAAATTGATCAATTTTCAACCCTGGGTCCTACGACTTATATATTTGAGGATTTCTATTAAATCTCCAGGCCATTTAACTGTTATATAGCCCAACTTTCGATTTCTTTCAGGTACAATTTGATTTTATTGAATTAATTTTTTTTACAGAAGCTGACCATATTTATCAATACAATTTTCATTCATTTATTATTTTTTAAATTAGTTTTCTGGAAACTTAAATCTTTATATTTTCCTTTCCAATTGATGTTATGGCCAGCGACTGTTAATGAACTTATATGGCAACTATATTGAGGTACATTTTAATATTATTATTTTTTAATTTTGAATTTGATGTAACTGCTGATTGAGAGTTGACCTCTATTTATTGATTTTATTTAAATTGTTTTATCAGCAATTATTGCTGTTATACTTTGAAATTATTTAATTTTTGATTTTCAACCTCACTGTGAAAATATATACTATTTTAATTTGAAATTTGCTTAATTTTTTTATTGGTTTACCTATTTGTCAAGATTTGAGTTGTGTGCATTATTTATTCCTGTTTTAGAATTACCAATTACCGTTTGCTGATTATTTTCTAGGTGTGTTTCTGAATTTTCATCCTTCCATATTTTAAGCAATATATATTTTTTTTAATTCAGTGGCGCCCTTGCCATTCTGTACTGATTAAACTATCAACTCACACCTAATAATTTTTCGCTGAGCAAACCGAGCATATTATGGGCCTCTCGTTAATTCATTAACCAAAGGGGTTACACGATTTTCTGGATATCGTCTCGCCATCTTTTCTGGGGTCTTCCAACACTATTATTTGTTTCTCTTGGGCGTCATACTATTATCCTGTTGGTCCATCTGTCGGGCTATATAGCCAGCCCATCACCATCTCAAGATATCTATTCCCGAAACCGGGGAACAGCGTTTGCATGAGAACGATTACTCTGTCTTTGTCAGTGTTATGGAAATATATATAAACAATGACGAAGACAGAACCTTCGTGTTCGTGAAAAGGCTGCTCTCCTGTCTCGAGAATAAAGACCCAGCTGTGTTATTCTGCGCACCACATCCGCCACTCTAGTTTTTCGCCTGATTTCGTCATTTGGCACTCGATCTCCAAACTAATCTCTAGCATGATTCTTTCTGTTTCACGAGTTGTTACCTGCAGGATGCAGGGTGTGTATAGATCTTCCAGTGAAGGAAATTGTTTCCAAGCCATAGGTATGCACATAATATTCTTGTCTTCTTCAACAGCCCTTTACCGTTCAATCGTGGACATAAGCCTCTTAAAGTTGCTCCTTTTGCCTGTTGATACCAGTTTATGCCTGCTGTTTCTTTGATGTAGTTCATCTATCGTTTAGAAGATCGCCCTTCGCTTCTTTTTGGGCGATCATGGTCCCCATTGGGGATTGTATTGGATATAGTTTTTTCTTCTTTTTCAGAACGTATTCGTACACTCCCACATATCGACCTTTTCCATATCTTTCCACAGTTTCATGTCCTGAGCTTTTTGTATCCAGTTCTTACCTGCTATTATCCAGATATCGTTCCGCCATCTTCCATCGCCATTTCAGCAGTGTTGTTCTTCGCCTGACTTAGTTATTTGGCACTCGATCTCTCATACTATTCCCTAGCATAATCCTTTACATTTCATGCTATGTTACCTGCAGTGTGTGTATAGATCTTCGGGTTAAGGACATTCTTTCGAAGCCATATGTAAGAATCGGTAATATGTATAAATCATAAACCTGAGCTTACCAAAAGCCGTTCAACAGAGTTCCTTCGAGGGACTTCGGACGTTTGATTTCCTCTGCCCAATTATATTTTATGCCCAAGATATGTAGTCATGGTATGGTTTTCTATATTTATTTCTGTTGATAAAGGGCTCATTATTTTAGTTTTACTCAAGTTCATCGTTAATCCTGTATTATTAAAGTTTGGCTTTATGTCGTCAATACGTGGCAATAGCTTTAGATTGTTAGTTGACATGCACCAGTAGTTACACCAGCAGGCGCCTGATTCTCGAAACATGGGAGCAACTTTCTCATGAGAAAAAAAAATTGCTGTCTTTGTCACTCTTGTGAGATTTTGCAAGGAACTGATAAGGACAGGAGGACACTTGTTCTCATAGGAATCCTGCTCCCTTATTTCGAGAATCGGGCGCCAGGTGATTCCTTGGATCTTGTCATCTTGTCAAGTTTTGTCTTGTGGTCTAGTGTATATTTTTGATACGAAGTATTTTAATCAAAAACGTAAGCATAATACATGGTCTCAGGTTAGCACTGGATGAGCAGTTTTTATAGGCAAGTTGAGTCTATAATAAATTAATGATGGAAGCGGCATTTAAACCTTCAGAACAATTGATTATAACTATTGGAAATTTGGCAGAGCAATGGAAACGGTTCAGACAAAGATTCGAACTTTATGCAGTGGCAACTAATTTGAAATCTTAAAAACCAGAACAGCAAGTAGCAATTTTTCTTACAATCATTGGCGAAGATGAACTTGAGCTTTATAATTAATTCACTTTGACAGCTCAGGACGAAAAATCTTTGAAGAGCATTAAGCAAACATTTGAGGAACATTGTGCACCCAAAAAAAATATAGTTTTTGAGCAATTTAAATTTAATTCGATCCTGCAAGAAGAGGGTCAAAATTTAGACAGCTTTTTAAGCAGCTTAGAAAGGGTGTCAAAACGACAGAGTATACAGAACAGGACGAAATGGTTAGAGACAGAATAGTTATGGAAATTTTGGACAAAGGAACCCAGGAAAGGTTACTTCGTGAATCAAATTTAAATTTGGAAAAAACAATTATTTTCTGAAGAAGAAGAAGCAAGCAAACTTCAAGCCCAAGCATTGAAAGAAGAAAGTAACATAAATGCTGTAGTAGGCGCAGCAATTTAAGTAACAATAATTATAGATCCCTGGGTAGCAAATAGGAGTGCATCAAGCACATCATTTGAATCAAAATTTGAATGCAAATTTTGTGGATATACACATAAAAAAGGCAATTCTCCTGCATGTGGTAAAACATGTGATTTTTGTCAATCGAAAAATCATTTTGCAACAGTCTGCATTAGGAAAAACCGAGCTGGAAAGGAAAAAGGCAGGCCATTGAGAAAAGTGTATGAGCTTAAGGAAGAGGAAGGTTATGACAGTTTAGAAAGTCAATTTTTTGTGAGCTCTGTAGTCAAAAATTTAGGATCCATTGAGAAATCTTGGCGAAAACCAAAATAAGTAAAGTTGAAAAGCCTACAGACTGATCTTAAATTTTTAAACCAAGCTATCGAACGTGAACCATTTTCAATTCCCACATCGGATGAAATTGCAAGCTTTGCAATAAAGAATACTTCACAGTCCTTGACATGAAGGATGGTTACTTTCAAGTAGGTATTGATGATGAGTCATCGGATCTGCGTACATTTGGAACTTCTTTTGAGTTATATAAATTTTGTCGTTTACCATTTGGCATTTGTTCAGCCCCAGAGGTGTTCCAAAAATGAAGCTCTGAATTTTTTGGCGACATTGCAGGAGTGGGAATATATTTTGATGACATAACAGGCTCAACAGAATCAGAGCATAACCAAAATTTACAAGATGTGTTAGAAAGAGTTGAAAGGTTGAACATAAAATTTAACAAAGAGAAAATTCAATTTAAATCCAAACAAGTGAGACTTATGGGTCAAATTTTTTCAAAAAGGGAAATTAGGCCTAGTGATAATTATGTCAAAGCAATCATGCCTACTCGGATCAATAAACAAGATTTATTAAGATTTTTAGGTATGGGTGTATATCCATTTAAATTTATCCCAAACATGTCCAAAATTACTGCACCTTTAATAAATTTGACACATTGTGACGCAGATTGGCATTAAGCATGAAAAATCCTTTGATCATTTGAAACATTTAATAACCATTGCCCCAGTTCTAGCTTTTTTCAATCCTGCCTATCCAATAGAAATAGAAACTGATGCTTCAAAAGACGGAATAGAGTCCTGTATTATGCAACAGGGTCACCCAATTGCATTTGCATCTCGTAGTCTATCAAAAAGTGAAACCGGAAATGCACAGATAGAAAAAGAGCTTCTCGCTATTGTTTTTAGTTGTCAAAAATGTCATTATCTAATACATACATGGGGCTTAAGATGTGACACTTTTTTCTGACCACAAGCCTTTAGAGGCCATTTTTAAAAAAAGTTGCAACAAGCTCCCCCTAGACTGCAGCGAATGGTATTAAAAGTACTTCATTATAATCTCAAAGTAATTTACAAACCAGGAAAATATCTGTACATATCTGATACTCTTTCTCAATGAAAACAACCCTAGAGTTCTTTCAGTATCTCCAGTTCTTCAGTAGTATTTCTAATAAGAATAATATCTGCGAATTGTGAATGGGTTCGTCTTCTTCCATCTATGTTGATTCCTTCATTCAGCCAGTTCAGGTTTTTGGAAACATTCTCCAAGGCTTGTGTCACCTTAGAAATCACAAATTACTCAGAGTGAATTTTATTGGTTGAAAATAGTCAGGAAAATGGTTGTTGGCGATTTGGACCAATCAAAAACGCTCTGACTGGTTTGTGATTTCTGTGGAAACAGACCTATTGTCGTATTCCTCTGTGTATCGGGATTTTGTCGGTTTTCATGTCCTCTTCTAGTTTGACTGTTATAGTTTCATTTTCCTAAATGTTTTTTTATGAGTCTATCTATAGTCAATTCTGGCATTGTCTAGTGACCCTAAGATTGCCCACGTGCCAACAGAGTCAAATGCTTTCTATATGCTTATACTCGAAACCGGGAAACAGCGTTCTTACGAGAACGATTGCTCTATCTTTGTCGGTGTTATGGAAATATAAATATGGGCGACTGAGACAGAAACTCCGTTCTCATGAGAACGCTGCTCCGCTGTTTCATGAATAAGGGCCCTGGAAGTCGATGAATGCCAAATGCAGGGGTACATTGTACTCTTTCGCCTTCTCGATTAGCGTGCGTATGGTTTGCAGATGGTCACTTGTACAGAATCCCGCCTGTTCACAGGGTTGATATGAATCCAATTTGTGTGATAATCTATGAGTGCAAGGGGCAAAGGTAGAAGTCAACAACTGCCCAAATAACAACCTCACCTGCTGGAGTGGTGGAACTTTTTACCCTGTGCACCCTGCTGGACAACAAACGAGGCTCTGACAATCAAGTCGAGCAAACTTTCCATCAAGTACTGAGGAAATGTAGTACTCAAGATTCACGCTGGGCAATCGCGGCAGTTTAATATCAAGAGGTCAACACGAAGAAGTTGGAAACTTATATGAATAACTTCTAGAGATGTTATATTTCCAATAACACATTATAAATGATCTACACTTTAAACCATTATCTAAAGTTCGAACCAACTAAGAAGAATACACACGCGTTATCGTTCGTCTCACTTCAAATGGGAGGGATCTAGAGGAAAGGTCTTCGTCAGTAATGACGTCAATGGCTTCTTCTTTGCCGGTTCTTACTATACTGCCCGTATTACATCTGTGTATTTTTCCGTGTATTTATTCATGTAGTTCAGGGTGACAACCGAAAAACTTCAAACGCAACATAAATCAGCATTATGATCAACAAAATAATGTTGGCACCCTTAACTACATGAATAAATACACGGAAAAATACACAGATGTAATACGGGCACAATAGTTATTGTTTTCATTATATAATGCTATTGGTAAGAATATCTATATTTAAAATTTCGAGTAATCACTTACCCATTTCCTCTTCCGCCTGCATCTCCACCAATCGAGCCATTCTAAAAACAAAACAAAAAAATCATAAATAAACGAACAAAATCTACCCCAAAACGGGGTAGAATAAAAATTAAAAAAATTCACAACTTTATTTCAATAAAACAACAACAGCCTAACATCACAAATTATTCAAAAATATAAATAGTATACAATATTCTTAAAATGTATATTAGCACAATTTTCTAATTAAAGCGTTTTTGTTCTAACTTTTCAGTTGATACAATAAGCGCATCAACTTTTTTTTTTGAGGGGGTGAAAAGCACTAATCAGGCACTGACAACAAAAAATTGTCAGAGGGGTTTTGACTACCTTACAGTATTACAACATTCCTTCATACACTGATCAATTCTAATACATTTTATTCAATTTTTTTTTTATCCCTTATTATACATTGGATATGGTTGCAGCATTTTAAGCAATAAGCTTTTTTAAACTAGCACAGATAAATTGTTTTTTTTTTTGCAACCATAATCCTCAAAATATTGACTATGCGTTTCAATACTGCAAAATTATGGTATCTACTAGTGCGCTATTTTGACAAATATTTAATAGCGAAACTTATTTGAAATTATTATCAGTACAAGAAATACCTAAAACTAAAATCATCAATTACACAAGTACTCCAGACGTTGAATAAATCATTGTAGGTCTGTTGATTATAGCAAGGTTTTTTAAAAGTTAAATTTACGTAAACTCAAATGCGACCACAGATTTGCATGAAGCATCACACGCTACGAGTAATACAGAATATCAAATACTAGACGACCCATCTTATATTATACATAACTCAATAGTATATGAAAGTCCGATTGCCAAAAAAATCGATTTTCCAGATTCCGAGAGCATTTACCTTTTTTGCTGGATGAAATTCCGCGTGCTAACTCTTTCTAAAACTTATCTGGTTTTCCATTTCAGTTCCAACATTGCCTTTAACGATTTGGATCTTTATTTCAAAAATGAATAATGGAGCAATTATAATAAATCCACAATAAAAAAATTGTGAAAATATTTTTTCTGTATTAAAACAACCTTGTGATTAATTTATCGTCTGAAGCATAACAACTTACCTTACGTGATTAAACTACCATAATCGAAACCTAAAATCTAGCCTCTAAGTTCACAGCAAAAGCTAATACACCATTTCTAGGTCAAAAAGCTTGGCTGTATATAATATAAAAAATAAATAAAAGTAAATTGATGTTTTGTACTAAAATTGACGGATATAGGCCAATATATTAAAATAACCTCGAAAGGAAGGAACTGATTTAAATATGAATGGGAGTTTGTGTTTGAATAATTCGTTGGAAAGGCGTTCGTGAATGGCGTGACAAGGCCTGGAAAATATTTTTGATATTTATAAAAGAGAAATTATATAGGAAAAAACCTCTCTTCATTAAAATAATCCCTCTATATACAGTTTTAATTATTATCAAACATTACGCAGATGCCTTAAAACCCTTTTTCAGAAAATGGAAGCGGGAAAATAGATTTCCTGATTCCGTCAATTTATATTTATATAACAGGTTAGGAGGGAAAATTGAATTAATTTTTGCTTAGCGAAGCAATAATGATGAAGAGGATTTTGACAGGCGTAAAAACAACAGTATATACATAATGACCGAGGGAATATAAACGGAAATAAGAAGAGTTTGGATTATCTTTGTAGGCATTGTAAAATATCCCATTCATATTCAAAAAACAATTTTGGCAAATTGTTCGGAAATAAATTTTGAGAATATTAAATGAACATTTTCGCTGCCATTATGAAATGAAAACGCGGTATTTTTATTGGTAAATTTTAGCGCATTTTTAGATCGATACCTTAAAGCCACCATATATGGAATAAGTTGATTATATTTTGCGCCATTCATCACAAAAAGTTTTGAGGTCTAGAGCTTCGTGAAGTTCCGATAATATTTTAGAGTCAATTTTCGTGTGGAAGATTTTATCGACTCTAAAAGTTTATTATTAGTATGAACTATTCTCGAACAATTTGCCTATTAACAACAGCGTAATAATGAATATCTTGTATAGAAGGGAGTAGGAAACTTACATTATAGGAAAATATTATTAAAGCCGGATTGTCCATTAAATATTATTATTATGTATTATTATTGGGGTCACTGCAGTCTACTAACTCAGTCTATTAGCCATTAAATAGGACAAGTTATACAATACATATTAAATTCAATATAATATTACTTTATCAAAATACAGTTTTTTTTTATTGTTATTATTAACAAGGTGCTTTGTTACTGTTTCTTTTAGTGCACATATATATCGTTATTCTACTATAAGCACTATTCCAAAAGTAACTTAAAGATTTTATTAAATCAATATCTTGTCGTATTTCAGAAACAATTCTTGAGTGGCTTCGTGACTTTTAAAGGGGAAACGCATGGTGTCAAATCGTTTAATCTTACCGGCTTGTGTAATAGAGTTTTAGAAGAAATTCCTGATTTAACTAGAGATGTTTGATGCAGGAAACTTTAATGTATGGGTATTAATCGAAAACTATTAGCACATTATTGAAATATGTGATAAAGTTCCTCGGGGGACCTTCAACAATAGATACTTTCCGGCAAGGGTGTTCGCGTCTCAATCTGCACTACTCAGTCGATGCCTATAGGATTGCTACAAGATTGTAACTTCCAGGATCTCGGGAACAAAACCTAGGGCATGTGTTTATGTACCCAGGAACATAAAGGCCACCTTCCTACCGCAGCCCCCGATTTGGCAGTGGTTATGACAACTTGCGACATGAAAGATGGACCCATAGATATTGTCATCGCTTCCAGATATAACCATCGCGCCCAAACTAACCCAATCTAACTGAGGCAATAGTCAAAGCCTATGAGATGGCATGTCCGCTGAAAATAATACGCTCAAGTAGAACAACTCCTTGGTGGACTTTAAGACTTGAGCGACTCAAGAGAGAAAGCAAAAGGCTTTTCAATAGAGCGAAAAATACCAAAGGGGCGACTGACTGGGATGCGTATAAAACACACCGAGCGCAGTATAAAGGGGAAATTCGCATGTCACAGAGAGAAACTTGGAGACATTTCTGCAGTGATATACAAAACACTACAGCTACAGCCCGGCCGAAGAAGGTGCTCTGCAAAGACTCTCAACCGCTAGGTTTGCTGAAAAAAGAGGATGGTACATATACCATCGCTTCAGCTGAAACGACCGAAGTTCTAGCAAAGCTCATGTTTCCCGACTGTGAGATCTTAGAAAACCACACTTGGAATAACCATAAGACTGTCACTACTACAGAGGTTGATTGGCTGATGGCCAAGGAAGTGGTTAGAAAGTCATAATTTGAGGAAGCAATCAATAGGTTCACTCCATATAAAGCACTAGGGCTGGACGGGATGCGAATAGCCACTTCCCACCATTGTGCGACGCACTTCCCTGAAGTGTCGCGTTGTATCGTGGTAGGCGCCAGCAGAGTTAGACGTTGATGAGCGCAGAACAAAACCTACCACGATGCAACGTTTTTCGCTGGCGCGTGGTATACAATGTCTAGTAGTCACGCGCGAATTGGAGGGACAACTTCTACCACGATACAGCGCTTTCGTGCAAGCGCACCCCCACATGTGTCATCAGCTCACAGCAGTTCAATCAGCTGTTTGCTTTTTGTTATCTTGCTTGAACAAGTTACGCACATTAGGCATTTGTAACCCTAAATAAAAGTAGTGTGTAAGAGTAAGTCAATGAAAATGGAATACAAGGAGCTGTTACAATGATGTGGCTCGAATTTGGAACACCCTGTACGTGTATGACACATAGTTACATTGCAAATTAAATTTCCTTTCAAAATATGAAATAAAAAATCCCAGTCCGTATCTTGTAGAGCAAAAAAAATTATTTAAATTTCAAAAAGAATGTTTCTAAAATAATAGTTCTCGAAATATTCGACAAAATAATTTCAGGTGTTTCTGACCATGGTTTCTAAAAATTCAGCCAAAACTGTACTACTTTTGTATTTACACCTTTCTTCTACCTGTAAAGGTAAAGGCTGTAGGTGGGGTGTCAATATATGAAAAAACACCCTGTATATTCTAGAAACTCGGTTAATACGGAGTGTGGATGTGCGTACCTCGGATAATCAGGATTTTTGGGTCTTTAGACTGGCTCGGTTAATCCAGAGCTCGGATAATTGCGACTCGGATAATCGGGGTTCTACTGTATCTATATTTTATTACAGTGCTGCGCTGTATCGTGGTAGAATTTGTCTTGTATATCAGGCTCCGGCGAAAAACGTTGCATCGTGGTAGGTTTTGTTCTGCGCTAGTGAGCGTTTAACTTTGCTGGTGCCTACCATGATACAACGCAACACTTCAGGGGAGTGCGTTGCACAATGGTATGAAGTGGCTATACGCGGACGGGATATATCCGGCACTCCTACAGTGGGATCTGGATATTATCTTAGACCAACTAGTGCTTATTTTCAGAGCGTGTTTTGCTCAGGCATACATAGGGGAGACTAGGGAGGCTTGAGACAAGAGGGGAATTAATTTCATTTATTCCAGCAAGTTGTTTAAGTAGCGTCCTCTGTTGCCTAGGACTTGAGTCTACCAACAATAACATCAGCGAAATTATTATTCGTTTAGAAAACGTGATACAGTACACAGTCTATGTTTTTATGCGCCTAAAGTAAATTTTATTTTTTTCGATTCGTTATTATTTACGAAAGACAAATGTGAAAATTCACAGTGTTATTTCAGGGATTATAACAGCAGGTATGGTTTCAACTAAATATAAAGCGGATTAGTTATTGGAAAAAAGTTTTTGGTTAGGTTTTTTTGTAAAATGTCACATAGGGAGACCTGAGAATTATTTTGGGGAGCCTTGAGTCGTCTCATGCCTCCCCGACTAATATTTTTAATTATTTAAAAACAAAATCAGATCTGAAATACCTGAGAATATTTATTTTACAGAACTATGCCCCATTTCTGGAAAAAGGACACGAACCGAGTAGTTCTTCCACCCGAGGTTA